GCGGCCCGTCGCCTGCTTCCAGAGCAGCCGCTACGACGAGCCCTACGCCGTCGTCCGCGCGACGCCCGAGAAGCCGCCCGAGAAGCCGCCCGAGAAGCCGCCCCAGACGACGATCTCCGACGCTGTGGGGTTCGCGAGAGCCGGGGGACGCGCGGAGAGGAAGTCCGCGCCCGGCGCTGCGGCCGATGCCCGGGCCTTGACGTTTCTTCGGCGCGCGGCGCGCGATGCTAAGAGGCCCATGTCCGTGAGCGCGCGCCGCGGGCGTGTTTGTTACGCAACAAACAGCAGCATCGACTTCGCCAGGATCCTGATGTTGATTCGCCGCCGAGGTCCCGTCGTCCCGGGGCGCCCGGGCCCGGCTCGCCCAGCTGCATCGACACGACCGCGCGCGCGCTGTCAGGAACAAACGACAGCATGGACCTAGAAGCGCCCGTTCCGCCGAGCTACGCTATCGTCGAGGTGAACGCCGAGGGCGTCGTCGCGGCCGTCGGCGACTTCGACAGCTGGATGACCGCGCGCAGGGAGCACGTCGCCCAGCGTCGCTGCTCGCGCGCGCGCACCGCTCGCGCGCGCGCGCCACGCGCGCGCGCGACCACAGCCTGAGCCCACGCACCGCAGGTTCGGCGAGGTGCGCAACAGCGCCAAGGGCCAGACCGCCAAGGAGGCGGGCAACTGGTTCGAGATCCGCTACGACGGCGAGGTCAAGATGACGTCCCAGGAGGAGCCGAAGAAGGGCACGAAGCGGAAGAAGAAGCAGTCGGAGCCACCGAAGCCCGCGCCGATCGAGCCCGCCAAGCCGCTCGACGCCGCAGCGGTCGAGGGCCTGCGCGTCCGAACGCGGCGGCTGCTCGCGGAGAAGCGCGACCTCGTCGAGGAGTTCCGCACGCACTACCGGGGCGACCCCGCCGCCGAGGCCCTGCTCAAGGAGTTCGAGAAGGATGACGCGGCCAACGGCGCGCTCCGCCCGCTCATCGACTTCGAGCTCGACTCGCAGCCGCAGCAGGCTCCGTCGCCGCCTGGGCTGCCCATCTCGGCCTTGCCGATGAACCACTGCTGCTTCGTGTACCGGCCGGACAAGAAGGACTGGTTCGAGGGAAAGGTGACCGGCGGCGAGGAACGCGCCGGCGGCGAGATCCTCTACGAGATCACATTCGACGAGAACGGGCATTCACGGAACGCTCCTCTGGTCGAAATCAGCCTGCAAAGGCCACCGCGCGGCGAGGATCCGTATGACAGCGCGACGACGATCTTTCGAATTGCCTACGTTGCTCCCGAAAATGAGCATAGATTCTTCAAAGACCCGAACTATTGGCGGCAGCGGCGCGCGGCGATAATTGCATCGTGCGTTCCGAACGGCGGCATGAGCAGCATCAAGAAGAAGGGCCCCGGAGGAAAGACTATTTCTGCACAATGGAATCAGTGTACTGCTCATCCTCTCCATAGCTACCTTGATCACCACCTGCAGTGGGTTCAAAAACTTCACCCGCAAATCGACCCTTCGTTGATTTCGACACCCGGTAACAGCAAGCATCGGATGATCAAACAATTCAGCGCGCCTTCAGTCATTTCCCCCTATCAGAACATGCCCTACGACATGGAGCACGGCTACTACCTGTTCCCCCGCTATGCCGAAGTCCGATTCTTCGGCTTCTGCGAATCACGGTGGAACACGGCCTTACGTGGTGCGGCCGCCAACGAGCGCTGCGGCTTCCGCTTCGCCTACGGCTAGCTTAATTCGCCCGAGAGGTAGCGTCACGCGTTAAGCCCCGTCGACGGCGCGCTGACGGCCCAGGCCATGGCCGCGCCGCTTCGCCTAATGGTCGATCATGCCCGTGCGCGCGCCGCGGCCCCTCAGCGTGGCTTCCGTCGCGTTGACGCGCCGGTCGACGAGGCGCAGGGCCGCGCTCGCCGGCGCGCGAGTGACGCGTTCCCGGAGCGCGCGCGCCGCGAGCGCGAACTTGTCCCGCCGGCCCGCGCAGTGGTGGTCGACGACGCAGCAGGCGCCGGCAACGTGGGACAGGCACCAGGGCACGGGGCACGCCTTGTACCGGATCTTCGGCGGCCAGACGAGGTGCCGCGCCGCGGGGTAGGCGGGCTCGTAGACGGGCACGGCCGCGGCGACGTCCTTGCCGTCCGCGGCGACGTACTGCAGCCCCGTCTGCTCCCAGGGCCAGACGCGGTGCGCGTCGGGGAAGTGGTCGCAGCACGTCGCCGCCTGTGTGGAAATCGACCACCGGTTTGGGACGTCCCGACCAAACTTTGAAATGCTCGAGCTCGGGGCTGATTCTTGGACGAATCGATTGCTCTCGTCGGGTTCTCGAAGCACGGCCAAACAGTACGGCGCAATCCGTTGAATGACGCTCACATTGAAGCCGGGTTGAAGATTTGATTCCCACACGGGTCGCCGCGAGCGCCCACCACCGCTCGAAGAAGTCCCGCGCGCGGCCGAGGACGTCGCGGCGCCAGATGATCACGCCCGCGTTGAGGCACGCGTCCCAGTGGTGCGGGAGGAGCTTCCTCCGCTTCCAGAGCGTCACGCACCAATGGCCGTGGCCGTCGCGGCTTAACGCCACGGGCCGCGACTCGTCGCCGAAGCCCGGCGTCCGGGCCGCCACCTACCGAGCGCGTCGGTCA